AGGGCCTTCCAGGATGCCGATACTGTAGCCCGAGTCTTACCAGATGCTCTGGCACATGGAGGAGAGGGGGTTTCATCACTGCACGTTTCCATTACATGGCCCTAGTGAACCCCCGCTTCCTCCCTGCTGCCTTTCCAGTATCTGAATAAGCCACAGCATCTGTAAATGTACAGCAGGGAAGCTACTACAATGGTGGCATAACTTTGCTTAGTGAACTTATAAGAAGAAAAGCCATCCTCCAAAAGGTAATTGAGGAGGATGGCCAGGGCCTCAGCACAGCAGTGAGAGGAGAGCCAGACCTAAGCAGTGCTGGGAATGGTCCACTCCATCCTTCTAGGAAAAACCTCTGCTTGCTTGTGATCCTGGGTCTGAAAATGAAATCGCTGACTAGCACAGCTCAGGATGTTAATGATACGTACTAAGGGGACATGTCAGATACAGCAATAAAAATAAACTGAACTGCCTGAGGCAGGCATGGGGGACCTCTCAGAGGAGTGTAGGAAGGCTTTTCTAGTGAGCAAGTCTTCCTAGCAAGCTGCTGCAGTAAGACAGAGATACCTTCTGCAGGCAAATACCTGCTTTGGATCTGGTCATGCTGGTGCTTGGGAACCTTCAGAGACTGCTAGTGCCAAAGAAAGGGAAATACGGATCAGGCCTTAAATACTACAGTAATGACATTATTAATCTGTGTTACATTAGCAGCGGGGGTTCTCACTCACAAGCCTCTGAGCAGAAGCACTGAAGCAAACAGGGAAACAGGTATATCCCGAGTAGGTTATGAAACAGTGCAAGAGAACAAGAGTGGCATGACCGGTCCCGGTGTGGCTCCGGGCTAAGGTCATCGCAAATGTGAGACCTGGGCTCCTGAGAAACCCTTTCCAAAGCATCTGGGTCACAGAGCTTTGTGATTTGGGGAAAACAGGGAAACCAGTCTGAGAGAGTGTGGTGTTTTGCATGTGCACATCTAGATGGTGTGCCAAAGTAGTTGACCAAGGGGGATGGTAGCAGAGGACCAACAAACAGTTCCTGAGTGAATGAGGACATTTCTTCAGAGTGTCTGGAGGGACAGAGCCCTTTTTCCAATGTGGGCAGCAAGCCATTGCAGAGAGCTGCTTGGGCATGCTCTGAAGCCATTGTAAGCCCAGAGCTCACAAATCTGGTCCTGTTATCCCACAGGAGCCTTTAAAGCTTTCTGGTACCACCAAGTCCTTAGTTCTGCCCTCTTCAGCTCTGGCAGTGCATCTGTAGAGCTTTCTACTTACCTAAAGGTCACAATCCTGATTGACGACCTAGGTGAGCTGCCAGTTGTTAAAGGTGCACTTCGGTACAGCTCAGCGGCTACCTGGGACTCAACAGTCATTATCAGCTGAGGAAAGAAGGGCTCAGTTTTAGTCTCTTCCTGCAAGGTGGGATTGCTTGACACTGTGACCTTGCTAGAGTTTGAGCGTTTGAGCTGGAGATTTGGAGGGATGGGGCTGTGTCTGTAGCCAGGCATTCAGACAAAGAGCTTTGGGGGTTTCAGATGTGCCGGTAAAGGGACTCTGCAGCATTGTTGAGACCTTTCTTTGCAGCTCTAGCAGTGACCCAAGGACAATAGGGTCACCCACCAAATCCCTGGTCTGCTGGCTGTAATGATGGTGGAGAGGGGTCAGGAAAACGGGTGATTTTCTAAGGGCTGTCATGAAATCTGAAAGGGACAGTGCTGTGATTGAGGCAGGCTCCCAACGCCACCGGTGCAGGGATGCATCAGGCCCAGCTCCTGCAGCTGAAATTCATCAGCATGTTCCATCTCTGAACTGCTCTTGGACCCTTCTGTCTGTGCTTTCACTGGGTAACATGCTGTATCCTCTGTCTCACCCCTTTTCTTCTCTCTGTGCAAACCTCATACCCTAAGATGTGTAGCAAAATGGAATTAAAAGATGAAAAATAATGACTCTGGTTATTGGTGGCTCAGGCTAGATGTGGGATGCTAAATTGCAGTTCTCAGGGTTGCCAGAGAGGAAATACATTTATTACTTTTTTTTTCTTTTCTGGAAAATATTAAATTCTTCTGCAAGCTGGTTATTTTCCCCAGTGTTCAGCTCTGACCCATTTACCTCCTTGCCAGAGGGTAATCACACCCCAGTGCCACCTCCTGAACAGAGGCAGGACTGCTGCTGCGTGTGTCACTGTCACTTAGTGCAAGATGCTGGGGGAGAGTGTCCTACCCCCTGGCACGGCTGATGGACTCCGGCCTCTTCATTATCACCACAGTGAACTTCCCGGCAGCTGCTGCCAGCTGAGCAGTGCCAGGCAGCGTCCCTGCCTGTGTTTCAGCCTCTCTGTTCCCAACAGAAGGGAACGGGATTTGAAGTTCGCACTCATGTGTAACTTCTCTGTGCTCTGAGCCCCTTCGCCTTTGACAGTATATTTAGTGCTACACCTAAGCCTCCCTGTCTCTGCAAAGCAGTGGTGCTAATTGTATGTGGCTGCTAGCTGCAGAAAACAGTTCCTTCTTATTTTCTGTCTTTAATTGCTACCTTGGAAGGACCTGTTGCCACCACAGCCCTTGCAGTGTGCCAGACAGATGGTGAGGAGCCAGTCCATTACCTCCTCTCGAGAGAGAAATGATGCAGAATGATTTGGCTGGCACAGGCGCACACGGGTCAGCGTGAGGGACCTGCCGTAAAACCTTCGCGCGCGGCACCAGGCCGTGCTCCCTGCAGTCCCATCCCCTCAGTGTTTGCCAGGGATAGTGGAAGGGGAGATGAGGTCTGGGGAAAGCTGCAGGGGTGAAAGTGCAACCCCACACACGTACCCAAACCCCCTCCCCGGCACATGCCTCTAGTTCTGGAGCTCTGAGCTGATGGCACTGGTTGCAGATTTGTCCTGCATCTGCTTATGGTGCTGTGGGGAACAAAGCTGAAGAGCTGATGGGAGGACAGCATAGCTGCTGATCCCACCCTCAGAACCCAAATTTGGGGGCAATGGATGCTGAGCGGCCTTTGCTCTGTCTAATGTCAGGAGAGGAGTTTCACAGCTGTGCATCTCCTGTGGACTGTAGCACCCCTGCATCTAGCCTTGACCTGTTGCAACTGGCACCAGCAAGTTTCCAACCCTAAAAAGAGGGCTATTCACTACCTCAACTTCTTCGTGGCACAAAGGGGCCACTGGTGTGGCTGGATTTGGTGGTGGCATGGAGCAGGTTGGGCTATGGCAGAGGGGCAATGGGCTGTTGAAGAGATCACTGTGTGTCCCCAGTGCTTGGTGTTTGCCTTTGGCTGGGCCAGCTGCTGGCACAGATGGCAGGAAGGGGACCGGGGTCAGCTGAGCCCAGTCCTGCTTCAGCAGGGAACAAGCTCTCTCTCAGCTCAGCAGCTTTATGGCCATCTACTCTGTGGCCAACTATGAAATAAGCTGGTACCACCCACCTCACTGATGCTGCACATCCCTGACGTACGATTTGAGGGCTGTCTGCCCTTGCAGGATGTAAGCCAAGGAGCAAGGCTGGCAGAGGCAGACACTTCAGCTCACCTCTGAGCCAAACCAGGCAATCTCCCTCCAGTTGCAACCTGCAGACCTCAGCCTCAGGCTGAAGCTCTTGTCTGTTCCTCTCCAAAAGCAGCCCTTGTCAGGGGAGTGCATTCAGTTCGGGGGCTTGGTCATTGGACTGGTAGCAATGCCATGGCATGCCTGTACCAGCACAGGTCACCTATTGTCCTTCTTGCCCTTCAATCAGGGTTCAAAGTCCTCCCTAGCTCCCAAAAAACACTGGTAGCTGTCCTGGGCATTAAAGAGGGACCCAGCAACTGAACTCCCTTCTTGCTCTGCGAAAGGATGGGACAAGGCTTGACAGGTGACCCTGCTGTCCCAGGATATTTTTGACAAACATGCAGCGTGCTGAGAGCTCGACAGAGCTGCTGCTTCACAAGGACACTAAATTTGGGCTGAATCCAGGCTTTTCAGTTCCTCCCAATCCTCTATACCTGCAGGAGGTTGAAGCCCGCCTTTATTTATCCTTCCGCCAGTCCCACTGAGATTTCAAGGGCATGTATCTCACAGCTAAAGGTGGCCTATATACTTCAATGCCAGGAGAGACTGTCTCTCCCCAGCCTGTTTACGTGTTTGATTTCTGATTTGCAGGAGGGGCTACAGACCATGTCCCCAAGTCTTGTTAAAGAAAGCAATTTCTGCTCTTGGATTTTACAGGGCAGTTCTCTCAGCAGTGTAAATCTGAGTGGGGAGGTTTTATGCTGTATGACAGAGAGGAGTCCGGGCTTACGATATTTATACCACAGCTTATACAAAGCTATTTGACATAGTGAATGGATTTGGGGGAGTTATTTCTATTTTTTTCTTCTTCTGAGGAAGAAGCATTGACGTTTACCTTGGAACACAGCCTGAACGTGTCATCACCTAAAGACAGGGTGTCCTGACCACAGCAACTTGTGTTGTTTGTAACAAGTTTTGTGGGATGTGCATTGCTGCTGCAAGATCCTACCTAGTGCTGTGATCCTGTCAGATCTCACGGAGTGGCACAGAGCCAGCTCACGGGAGGCCTCCAAAGGAAAGCTTGGTTCTCTGAGACACTTCTTCTCATGGTAATAGGATGCCGTGGCCAAGGATGCTGCCTGGCCTCTATCTGAGGTACCAACTGAATGTCCTGATCTGTGATAGTCATCACAGACCTTACTTTCATGGGGATGTTATTTTTGGTGTCTTGCCCCCAGTCTGTCCTGCCTCCCTCAGGTCTCTGTGCTTTCCTGGTGAGATGCAGGATTCCTCCCCATTGCCTCTTCAGCAATGCTGTCAGAAAACATGAGGCCGTGCAGTGTTGAACTACAGCTATACTCCACCTCAGATGTGGACCAGGTAAAAGTACTTATGCTCATAGGTGCTCTTTGAGATCTCCAAAACCACCGCAATGATGTAAAACAGCAATGTGCTCCAAGTAACTAATCTCTTCTCTTTTTCCTTCCTCCCTCCCTCTCGTCCCCTCTCCTCTCCCTGTTACCTCCCCTTGCAGTGGCAGGCCATCTCTCTGACAGTCATTGAGAAGGTTCAGATAGCAGCGGCCATCCTGGGTTCCCTCTTCCTCATCGCCAGTATCTCGTGGCTCATCTGGTCGACCTTCAGTCCTTCAGCCAAATGGCAGCGCCAGGACCTGCTCTTCCAGATCTGCTATGGAATGTACGGCTTCATGGACATTGTCTGTATAGGTGGGTGATCGTATCTCATGGCATGGCCAAGGTCACTCACCCATGGAGATGAGTGGGAAACAGCATGGAGAGCCGGCCAGTACAGCTCGGATTGAACCTCCCCGGCTTTTCCTCCTCTTTGCTTTCATGGCACTTTTTTTACAGTCCTCTCTGCTTGTCTGGGCAGCCCTGGAGTGTCTCCTTGGCTGGGCTGGCAGAGGGACCTGCAGCAACCCCAGAGAGAAACAAATCTCTCTTCAGAGCAAGAAGAGGCGGGGGGAGGTCTGAGGGAGGCTGGGGAGTGTAAGGCTTTTGAGAAACTCCCTCCTTTTTGGAATAGCTAATTTAGGGACTGCCCCATGGTTGGATATGACAGAGTCTCTCCACATGCAACTCCTTGGCTCTCCAGCCCAGTGTCTCTGCTGGGCAGGGGTGGTTTCCCCTTCTTTGGCCCACCCTGGAGCTGCAAGTCCCAACCAGCGCAGGTCATGGCCCAGCCTGGGATCCTTGTCAAGTTGCTGGTACAGAGCAGCTCTGAGGACAAAGCTGCCCCACACTGAGCAAGCCCAGACAGAAAGCAGATTCTGGCAGCCTGGCCCCAGCAGGGTCTCCCTGAGAGCTCAAGCTGTAGCCCCAGTGCAGGTCTGCAGGATGGGGGGATGTAGCTGACAATACCTGTGGGCGGAATCACTCACCAGCCAGGCCATTGAAAGAGCAGTGGTTATTGAAACAGTTCAGTGAATACTAGCCACCTCCAAACATGCTCCTGAGCAGTGTCCACCCAAGCACAGTCAACCAGATAACTTTAGTTCAAGTGATCCTGCCAGGAAGCAAAGAGGGTCCCAGAGAGCTCTTCGTGTCTGGGTCCTTCCATCATTGGTATAAAGGCAGAAGGAGCCTCCCAGAAACTTGGTGGGACAAGGCAGTCCTCTTGACTTGGTGGGTATGTGTTTGTGTGGGTAGAGCCACTCAAGTGCAAAGGAGCACAGCCCCCAGTTCAGCCCTCAGGAGGAGCAGCACAGATATATCCCAGAGCAGCAGATGGTGAAATCGGGGTATAAGAGGTTAAACAAACCCAGCGGCCGGGACAGAGGTCTGTACCCCATATCCTGGTATCCGGGTTCAAATGGCTCTTGGCTTCAGCATCCTTCCAGCACAGGACTCGGGCTTGCTGAAAGCCAGGCAAGTTCCTCCCATTGTTGCCACCACAGTGGTGACAATGAGATGTGAGCTTGGCCTGCAGAGATCATCCTGCTCCTTCATGAGATGCTGGTGGAGCTATACCACATCTCTCCAGGAACAAAGGGTGGCAAAGGGGATGAAAGAGAGGTAGAGAGATGGGCAGCACCCACATGTTGCCACTGGTGACATCCTCCTGCTGGTGGAATTGGGAGCGAAAAAAAAAAATCCCTATGTGTGTGTGGTTTGTTTGTGTCGCCTTGTTGGCAGAGGACAGAAGTGGACAGCCCTGGCCTGGGCAGACATCAGTAACATGATTAACTGGCTTTGATAAAGCTTCAAGAGCTGAGGGGAACTGATTAGCTCATCTGTCAATAGGAGCTAAATCCTCCCACACGGTGGAGAATAAACCACGCCAGCCATGAACTGAAGGAGAACTGGGCAGACAGATTCAGATTTGAGGTTCTTTGTTTCTTTCTTATTAATTTTTTTAAAGGTCTGGCCTCTATTTCTTTTTTCCACTTTCTCTGAGGGTAAAGCAGCCCCTTTGCATCTCCACTGATGCCACCATTAAGCTTAATGTCCTGAGCTGGGAGCATTGATTTTTCCCCATCCAAGAGCAAGCAGCCATGCTGTTCCCCGGAACATTTCAGAGTTGTGGCTTGGGGCTGCCCCTCGTCTCATGGTCCTTTCTGTGCAGCCGGCAGTCCTGGTGGGCAGGCACGCTGGCTTTCCCACAAACTCAAAAGCAAGTGGGAAGCATTACAGATGCAGTGAGTTAACATGTCTGTATGTGGCTTCTCTTGTCCAGCACCTCAGAGAGTACCCAGAGATGGCTTCACTTGTGCTGTGTGCAGCATGTCTGCCTGTGCTGCCAGGCAGCCCACCCATGCTTGACCAGGAGAGATGATATTCAGGAACGTGTGAGCCTTTGTATACATTTCCCTAGAGAATCTCATATGTGCATGCCGCCAGCCCTCTGCCCCTGCCATGCTCCAGTGTAAAACTTGCTTATATTGTGCATCAGTACCCTTGGCAATCCCAGCTGCTGCTGTTCCCAGGTCTGCAGTGGAGGGGAGCTCTGAGCAGTGCTAGCTGAGATCTGGTGTTCACTCTCCTCCCTGCCGCCTCCTCCTCTTCTTTCTCTGCCCAGGTTAAACCAAGTGACAGATGAGGTCTTCACGGGGAGCTGTGACTCCCTGGCTATCGATGCGGTCAGGTCTCTCCTCTGAGTGCCTTCTCTCCAGCCCTGCTGATTTCAGGGGGCTGCACTAGCGCTAGCCAAAAGGCTGGTCTGTCCCGTGGGGAGGCCAGGCCAGGTCAGGCCAGCAGAAGGAGCTGATTACACCACGATTGGGTGTAATTCTTCATTCATTGTAGCTTTGCCTGACTGTGATGGATGCAGCAATGCCGGGTCCCTAGAAGACTCGCAGTGACTGCCTAGCTGTAGAACAGCTATTCTTCCTCTCTTGATCCTTCTCCCAAACCTTGCAGCCTCACACAGGTTTTGATCACAGCTGGGCAAAGCTGGCTTCAGGGATTCAGAGCTCTGCTCCTGACTGCCAGCATGGCCTGAAGCCTCTTGTTACTCCTCCCTGGGCTTTAGTTCCACTTCTGCAAGTTCAGGATAATACCTCTCATGGATAATTGCAGTGACAACAGTTCTTGAAATACCAGGGTGCTGGCTGTGCATTTGGGTGTCTCCTCCTCCGCAGTGCAGTCCTTTCCCCCTTTTGCTTTCCAGCCTGTGGGTGGGTAGGAAAGACTTAGGAGCTAAAAAGTGCTCATCGACAGGGAAAAGGCAGGACATTACATGCACTCAGTTCTACCACGCTTGTTTTTTTTCAACTAATGTAACATACAGATTGTCTGTGCATTGTTTGGTAGCAGGCTGGGCAGCCTTAGCTAGCAGAATGTTATACTTTAGGTCCTACACTAATTGTATGAATTCCAATTTTTCCTTCCCCCAGTTTGACCCTAAGTTTTACTTTCACTGTCAGAGGAGCAGAGGTTAGAAAGACAAGGTATTTACTAAAAAGCAGACGTGCTGAAGCAGAGCTCCTCTGTAGTTCCTGTGAGTTCCCACTTTGGTTGTCCTTCGATGTCTCATGTCCATTGATTAACTAGTGACATTCATCCAGGAGGCCAGTTTACACACCCTGTCACTAGAGTTGCTTAGCAAGACATTTCCTCTGGCGCTGTAGAGCCTCAAAGCTGGAGAAGACACCAAATCTGCAGGCATCCTGACTATCGTCAGATAGGGAATATGCACCTAGTCAGCAACTGTCCAGCTGTTTTGTGTGATCTCCTCTCTACCAAGTCATTAAGGGATTTAGGTAGCAATTTGCCAAGACAGAGTTATCTGTGGCAATTCGCATGGGCAATTCCATGGCAGCACTGGTCTTTCCAACGTGGAGTCAAAGGTGAGGGCACGAGTGCTCACTTGCACACATAGCTCCCTAATCACAGATCATTTGGTTGTTGTTATCTTCATTTGAGCTGTATTTGATCTGAAATGGTCAAATCATCTCCAAGCTGAGCTCTCAAAATACGGCTGTTAACTCAGAGTCTATTGATCCATGCATCAAAATCCAGGGGTCTTGGGTTTGACTCTCAGCCACTCACATTCTGTAATACATTAGTTTTCTTTGGACTTTGCTAGATCCTAGCATGCTCCACAAAAACAGTTGTAAGGGACAGACACCATTTGCTACCCCTTCACCCACCATGGAAACAAAACCACAAACAAAGTAAAATGAATCTGCTCCTCACAACCAGGAGGACAGATGGTATGGCCCCAAGTACCAGAAGCTACGTCCATCTGGGCAAGATGTGCAAGATGATCTTTCAACATTGTTCTCCCCCTTGCTCTCAGACGTCTAACAGGAGGGCAGGAAGCACTGGAAAGGATTGCTTGGGATTTGTGGGAGTCTCCAATACTGGATTTTTTTTAAGAACCTGTTAGAAAACATATGTCAAGAACAGGTTGTGGAGAGATGATCCCAGTTTGTGAAGGAGGAACAGACTAAATGCTTCTTGATATCCAGCCAGCCCAAACATCTTTGATTCTGATCTCTCTTTCATGTGTGCTATCTCTGGTCATGTCTGTAGGACAGATATGAGAGTTGGATTAAACTAGAAACGGGTAATGATGCCAGCATAGGTATTGCTCTGCTATGAACCCATCTACAACACAAACATTTCAGATCAGCGACCAGGAAGTGAATGAAAAGTGAGATGGGGACTGTTCATTTGATTGACTGGTCTCTCCATGGGTCCATGAGAGGTAAATCCAGAAAGCTGGCATAGAGAGGGATTAGCAGAAATGCAGTTATCGAAATGCAGAGATAAATGGAGTGAGCCTTCACAGGCCTGAGTCTCTGAGTAGGGAGAGCAGCAGCTTAGAGCTGGTCTGTAAATCCTGAGAGATACCTGCCTGTTAATTAAATGACAGTCCTTGGAGGGAGAAGGAGGGGTTTGCCTCTCTCTCAGTCAAGGTGCAATTAGGGAAAGTCAGCGTTTGTAGATTAAGGTGTCATTTGGGGTCAGGAGGACAGGAAACTGTCTCATGTTAAACAGGGAGGAACTCTGCCAGCTAATGAGAGCATGTCACAGTCTAGGCTCAGGCATCACCAGATCGGCTCCAAGGGCAAAGCACGTCTCAGGAAGGCTGTTAGCAGGCTGTGCGTGCAGGGCTGTCACTGCTACCGTTTGTGTGTGCAGTCCTGCTTGGGCTCACAAAGGGGTGTCCGTGTGGTTGACATGACGGGGGGGCTTATCCCCAGCGATGCAAAAGCATGGTGGGGATTGTTGCTTTGTCCATGCCCACCCAGTCCTTGCTC